ACTACCAATGCAACTTTTGTGCAATTGTCAGTGAGTAATTATCCTGTGGATGACGGCGCCTAAAAAGCTGCTTATAATTATTCATGCTTCTGTACTGAACGTTTTTGACATTGTAACGTCATTTATTTACCAGTAATTACATAAAATTTTACTCTTAATGATGATATGTCAACAGGACATTTGTAATTTTTAATTTAAACACTATTATGAGTTTTAAAATATTTTAGCCTTTGTCAAAAACTGGGTCAATAGTTTGGTTTTCATATGCGATAAATTGTTGTGTAACTGCTGGATACTAAGAAATTTGTTGTAATATTTTATATATAGTTGAACCACAAACGACTACAGAAATGATTTTAATATATCATTTAACAAAAAATATTAATTTCAGTTGGATATCAACTTAAATGTGAAAAAGCAAAAGTTCTCTTAGTACTTTTGTAGAGTTTTCAAAAGCTCTTTACAGGTAAAAATCAAGTTCAATGTAAACGACCAAATCTTAACTTGATTGATATAAGTTGATTTATTTGCAGTGACCGAAACATGGTATAATAACAATTTTCATTACACTACCAAACTGTTTTGCCGCGAGAGTGTGGATCTCTCGTATGTATGCATAAAAAACTCATTTAAATTTCAGTTGTGATTTTTGACCCAATCATTTAAGGGTCATTTAAGGCCAGTGTAAACGCCATATAATTATTTATTTTTATGCAAAGTGTTTTGTGATCGGATAAAACTTGTGTTGCTTGTGTTTTTATATTGTATTGTTGTTTGTACTACATTATAAATTTTCTGCGTTCTACCATTTACATATTTTACGTTACTATGTACATTACATCTTAATTAGCATTTAGTCACAAAAACGGTGCTACAACGAAAGAAATGTTTCGGTGTGAACACGACTTTTCTTATCTACTGCTATTGAACATGACCAATAATCGGCAACTTTTTGATATATGTCATCATATGATCATTAAGTAATTTATTTACAACAAAACCAAAGAAGCTTGTAAAAATGGTTTAGAAAAGTTTACTTCAAATGAAACAAATAATTCTGGGTATTTGGTGGAAAATTGCTCATATATTATGTTCAGTTAAAGACTGCAAAAGCTTTGAAACCGATGAATCATAATAACGTCAAGGGAACTTAGAAACAAAATCTACCATTTAAAAAAAATATTTGTATAACTATTTCGCCCAAATTGTAGATAAAAGCTGATATCAGTTCCATTTTATAGTACAAAAAAGGAGAAAATGAAATGAAGTGGTGTTGCGTTTTTAAAATTGGTACAGTCAATAAGTATTTGATTGATGAATACTTAAGTGTGAACACTTAATACTTGAGTTCTGTTAAGAACGGATGGTGTTATGAAGTGGTACAGCTGCAAATATGTTGTCAGTTGTTTTTACCAAAGGTTATTAGTAACTAATTTGATTTTTTAAGTAAAAACGGTGATTTTTGGCAAAAGTTAATAACAATTAATTGAATAAATTTATTAATACATTTAAAGTTTTAGATTGGTCCTCAATTATTATTAAATATATATAAATCATATGTGTTCATTTTTTTCTGCCATATTCACCTTAAAAATATGATGTAATGCTTAATTCTTATTGGAATATCATATAAGATCATTTCTTTTGTAAGTATGTCACAAAAGAACAAATAAAGTAAGCACTACTTACGATGGCAACTCTAGACAAAATGAAAATTTTGTCTTTAAACAGTAAATTAATAAATAGAAAAAGTGACGTATTTGTTACGAACACAGACGATACGAAACACGAATAACTAGCGAAATCAATCGTTGACAGTTAATTGAAAATTTCGTAGGTACTTCCAAAAGTCGTTCACAATAGGCAAATTTGTAGTCTTGGCAACCATGTGATTTAAGTTGCTTATAAGTTATGCGATTTCAATAAGGTTGTACTAACTAAGCTAGCAATGTTGTTGTTTCATGTTGTTTCATATGTTATTTTTAAAATAAGCGGTTGTTCTTTTGTAATATGCTTACAAAAAAAGGCCTACAGTTAAATTCATTCATTTAGATGTATTTGAGGAATCTTCTAAGTTGATAAAACATTTTTATAGATATTATGCTTTAACTTGTTATCAGAGACGTGTTATTATTATGATATATATATTATTATGATATATTAAAATGTATGTATTTTTTATAATCACAATTTTCAATAAAAAAACTCAATTAAAAATATAATTATTTCGATATAATTCCATATATCATAATACGTAATAAAGCATATAATAGAAATTGCATTATATATACCTATGATATTAGATATTTAGCAATATTTGAAACAGCGTATGGTCAGCCCAAAAATATACTCCATTATAAAATTCTTGGGTCTTTACTGTCTAAAATAGATTTATGGCGAACATATTAACCAGCGCAACGCCATCTGGTGTGATGTAAAAACCAAAATAAACTAACTTAATGGTCTAGCGTTCATTAGTATTTAGCACGGCTTCTTAGAAATAAGAAAAAAATCACATAAAATATTAAATATTTACAAAGATATAATTTATTTTTTTTGCCTTTTAACTACATTATATAGTTAACTACATATATAGTTAGTTAGATTTCGTGATATCACAACATTATTTGAGCTCCCACTTGAGCTTTGGTTGGGCACTAGTTTATTGTCAAATTCAAACACGTCACTGATTTCCAAAAAATCTAGCGTATGACTTACTGCAACAACAATTGTGTGCTATTTTATTACAACTAATATCACAGTAAATGCTATTTATCACAATAAACGCATAATTTTCAGCTTGAGCATGATATTGGAAGAAGTGTTTGTTATACATATATACTTGATATTTTAAAATTAATTTCTTCCTATAATTAATTATCTATATGTTTTATGTCAATCATACTTTTAATTATTTTGGTTTTAAGTGGTTTACGTAATAATAATATATTTGTATTAGGTGTGTATATATATAATATTGTATGTATATGTTGTATACAATCTTATAATACATTATATAATTGTAAGTCGTAGTGTTGATGGTAAGCTCATCTTCCGTGATGGTAACACTACCATTTTGACATTATTAATTTTACGAAGACGACATTATGGCAACACTGTTTCGTTCCGTTCACTAACATATTATCTGTTCAGATTTGTGGAAGTTTTCAATTTTTGTTTGTAAAAGACAATGGACATCGGTAATTGCCCATACGCGAATTGCTACGGAAATCACGCTTCTATAGCAGATTTTAAAAAACACATGGAGGCCTTTCACTCCCATGATGATAACTCCAAATTGGAATATATGGGCGCATTTCCGTCTGATATCGATGATACTGTGGAAAAATCTAGAAATGTTGCAGTGACCACCAAACGGAAGGCCGAAATCTATGACTTCATACCACGCAAAATCAAAAAGTTTGATGAAGACGATAAAATTGGAAAACATATATAAGTAAAGGAACTGAAAATATGTTTATAAATTTTTATTTCTGTTTGTATTTTGTTTGTTATATATATATAATAAAACAATATTTTTCTTATTGATTTTTTTTGCTTATAATAACAATAAAAAATTTGTTCAAATGTAAATTTTTTGGTCTTTATTTTTAGTAGATTTATTAAATAGTATAACCATAGGCAACTTATAGATTTCTAATGCTAACCATAAAATAAGCAAGGGTTTGCAATGTTTAGCTTTTTCTTAGTAAAAATTTTTATTCTATTTGAAGTATATGTTTTGTGATTCTACATCATATTAACTAAGTATGTAATATATATTATATAGTTTACTATTGTATACGATCCTTGTCGTATAGCATAAATGTAGTATCCAAATATGTGTGATGTTTTCATTCATATTTCAGTTAAATTGTAGAAATATTGTACAAGATTTGCAAACAAGTTTGGTTCTCAGAGCTTTAGGACTTTATGTATTTAATTTTCTACTCATATATAGCAAAACTGTTCTATTTGTTTTCAAACTCTATATAATATATATATTTGTAGATTACATATTATTGGAAAAATGTTCTACTTAAACAGTTTTACTTAAAATTTTTGTGCTTTTTTATGTTGCAGAACATGGCAGACGTTGATCATTATACGTTGTTACAGAATCCGCAATTGCCGAGATGTGTCTGATTACTTCTATTATTTTTTTTTAAATATGGGCTTCATAATGTAAGCTAGCAATTTTTTTTATCCTGCAGTGCTGTATAATGAAATTGTTTTTTATACAGCACATTGTTTGCCTTTGCTATTTATTTAACCTGCTATTATTGCTGTTAACTAGCACTTCAATTTTTCTTTATATATATACATATATATAGGAGATTCTTTTGGATATACCCAAAATACGCGGTTCGGTACAATATGCCAATATAGTTATATACCATTACGGTATATAAGACATCAAAGATTTGCCAATATTAGATGGTCAAAATTTAATGTTTCATTTTATGCTACGACCCAGGAATAAAATTTAGTGCAATTTATAAGTACTATACCTAACATCTTAATATAGTCAGCATTGGACATAGTATTCCAACCTATCTATTTAGGGGCGAGCTACTGTGGCGAAAATCTTTTCAACTACAACGTGGAATATGTTAAGCAGTACATCTTAAAGGCTGTATAATCTTAAACATCTCATTTAGTATATATATATGATAGCAAATAAATTAACGACCTCTTTGGAGTATAACACCAAGCAGACCGAGTTTGAATTTTGTATAGTTAATATCGGTGTTAAGATCATATATTAGAATTTTATAAAAATAAGTAACAACCCAAAGCAACACATATAAAAGTTATCTCAATATATACTATAATTCTACGTCAATACTAGGACCAATGAAAATATTTTTTTATCCAGTATTCAACGTTAATTATATCAATACTTTCATACAATATAAAATAAATTATAGGTAAAAAAATTTTAAACTTCAGTTGTTTACAGTCATTTCATGATTCAAATTTCATTAGTTAATTGAAAAATGTTAGCATCATCAGTTTCTGCTTTTGCATCAGATGGACGACTTCTTCAAGTTGAAGCAGCTCAAGAAGCAACCCGTAAGGGATCGACAGCTGTTGGTATACGTGGGTCAAATTTTCTGATTCTTGGTGTACATAATCGTGTTTTGAATAAAACGATTGTACCACGAACCGTTTCTAAGATGCATGCTCTTGATAGCCATTTGGTAATGGTTTACGTAGGTATTGTTGGCGATGCTATGCGGTTACGAGAAGTCGGTATTGAAGTATGTAAGAATAACAAACAAGTGTATGATAATAATATCGAACCATACGTATTAGCGAAATATATTGCGGATCTAAAACAAAACCATACCTGCCTGAGTACCGCACGTCCTTTTGGGGTTTCATGCATTTTTGCTGGTTTCGATCATGACTATCCTCAATTGCTTAAAACTGATCCCTCCGGCGAGTTCAATCTATGGAAGGCGTGCGCTATTGGCCAATTAGCAGACTCAGTTGAGGATTTTTTGGCAAAAAACTTAACTAACCGAATTGCAGCCTCTGTAAGTTCCTCTATTAAGCTGGCTGCAAATTCTTTGTTTACACTAACACCTGATTCATTTGAAAATATTGAAATAGGTATTATGATAAAAGATAAACCACTCGAAATGATAAGCAATGAAAACCTTCATGCTCTTTTGCAAGAGGAATCTTGGACGTAATTTCCGGAGTTTTAAAAACTTTTGTCTGTATTTTTCATTTTATGAAATTTACATGTTGTCGTTTATATTCTTAATTATTCTTACATTTCCTTTTTTTAAAATTTGAATTAAATTGTTATATGTTAACATCAAGTTTTTTGTTATTAATCATTACAGTTCAATATCTGAATACATATACTTGCTTTAACTTAATTGGCATTGAAGCTTATAGTACATTTACACTGTCTCATTTAGGCAGTTGCCCATTTATATTAATGAGAAAATTTCACATAATGAGCTCATTTATACAGCTGATAGAACTTTTGTAAACTTTTATGAACTTCACTTAATAGATAATAATCAATTAATGTATTATATAACATATATAAAATATATACAAATTTTTATATATATCAAAAATTAAATATATAATTAATATATGAAAGCACATGACACATATTTCAAATTTTGTTAATTTTCTTGTAGAAAATTTAATTTTAAGGGTTGTAATCAATTTTTCTTTGACATAAATGAGGGGATTTATTGATAATGAGTTAATTTATATGAAAGATTTTTGTATGGTATGTTATCCTCATTAGTGGCTATAATGAGCAAAACCATTTAAATGAGACAGTGTGAATGTGCTAAAAGCACCTCGATCTGTGAAATGTAAAATGTATCTGTCCATAAAGAGAATCATTCATCGCTATTGAAATGACATCGTTGGTGTTATTATGATTAAAATTATACTAATGAAATTTTCAAAAAGTTTGAAGCTATATATCTGCCGTACTGAGGTTGTATATTCCCGAGGTAAAGCATGTTTGACATAAAAGGAAATTAATATCTAGCAATCCGCTGGAAAACGTATTTTAACGAATTATAGTCGTTCTTTGGAGTTATTAGAGCAAAAGAAGTTGATGTCGACTTAAACTAAACACCCAGCATCTCGAGAAAATGATAATTTATATGAATGGGTAATCTTTTATTTACTGAACGTTAGAATGAATAAAGAAATTTAAAACAGTACTGGATGCAACAAAAACATGGCTTTTAGTCAAGTGATTAAAAGGCCCATAGCTTTTTTGGGCACAGTATTTAAAAATTCGAAAATGAGTATTTCCATCAGAAAATACTAAAATATTTAACTCCATAGCTATATCTGAAAGGCTCTCATATTTCACTTTATACAGATTAGGTTAGTGGACAAGACGAATATGCAATATAACCTTAGTAATTCTAGAAAAATTATAACGAATTGTCAGTTGTAAGGATGGAAATTTACATTTAATTTCCACCTACATAAAAAGGACCTAAAAGAGTATTAAAGCACACACCAGCTAATACCACGGACACCGGGAAGTAAGATTGCAAATAAGTTGAACAGCGAACCAAGCAAATAGGGCATGCGCGATTCCAGGAAACAACGGCATGCAAGCCCGGGACTCGCAGCATGCCTTTTCTTGGAAACAACGGCGGATGAAAAACCTAGCAACAACATGTTAAGAGTAGGCAGTATTTTCGAGACCCGCAAAAAAGTAACAAGAAAACATTAAAAGCGTCGTTATAAGGAAGTTTGCGATGTTTGAGAAAATATTGGTTCACCGGAAAGCAATTGCCACCGATGGTGATGGTGTAGGCAGCCGTAACGGCCGATGGTCGCTCTCTGCTTGTGTTGATCGACCGTGGAGTAAAAATAAATTCCCAAATGTATCGCAAAAGTGTTTAAGAGGGAGCACTAAAGCCCTGGGTAGATAAACATTTCGGTCGCAGGCATTTGACATTCCAACAGGCTCAGATTCACCGCACAAAGCACGCGTCAACTAAGATTAACTGAAAAACAACGTTCCGTGCTTTATTCCATCAACATAATGGCCACCGTGTTCATATGATATAAACTCTTCAGCTTTTTTGGTCTGCTGTATTTTAAAAAGTAAGATTGGTACTAATAAATATCAAAATATTGATTGTCTGAAGCAAACGTTAAGCCGAGGATGGGCCAAAATCTCGCAATTTTTTTTGCGGGCAGCGTGCGATAGTAGGTTTGAAGGCCATAATTCATGCTAGAGGTAGTCTCATATTGAATCAAATTAAATTTACTTAAAAATTTAAAGTTATTTTCGCATATTTTCATTTTTTTTATTAAATTTAACAAAAATAAACAAAATAATGCGTTTTATTTTATTGCAATTTTCGTCAGCCATTCTGTATTTTAATTGCCAGTTTAGCCATTACAAATGGTATTCTAATATCATTTGTATCTAATATATATCAGGTAGCAGATCGCTTACCTTGGTAAGTTTGTCCGCTCTGTAGTTACTGGAGATGTCTCTGTGTCCAGGATACTACCACGCTTATCAAGCTTATTAAGAGAAGCTCGGCATTCTGGAAAGAATGTAGCTGCAGCGTTTACCACACATTTGTTTGCAGCTTGGCTCTTCAAAGTTTACGATATTTACACTAGTGTTCTGTTGAATAGAACCTATTTTGCTATGTAGTAAATCGTCATTACTTCTGCTTGACAGACATTGCAATGGTTCAGTAGTCGAAGCGTGATACTAAGACCTAATTTATAGGAAAATCACTTTTGCTATATTTTTATTGAAGTTCTTATAAATGTTAATATATTTTTGTCAAGAACAGTGATTTCTTTCTCGTTTAAAATTGTATGTAATGTTTTAGTTTGTACATATATATTTTTTTCTAAACTA